TTCTCAAAAGCAAAAAAACAACGAATACCCTTGGTGCCAGGTGTCAGTCAGTGCAGCCCGGCTTCTGCATGAGCGAAATCGTGTACGGAGGAGCAGTTCTTCTATAATACGAATCCTCTCACACTTACCACTGCTCTGGCAAATTTAATTAACAAAATACAATCAATCTCAAGTAATTAAGCAATTTTCGGTTTTAGGAGACGATATATGTTCGTTCGCAATTTTGTCGGCAAAGCCGACCGTCACGAAGCAAGCTCATGTTGTTGCAGTCTTTGGCGGTCAACATAGGAAGACGCGTTCGCATTCTGCACAGCAATCGTAGCGTTAGTCGTATACAAAACGAGACTGGAAGGTCTCGTTTACCGGCTCCCGCTTTCAAGACACACACAGATCCGTACATACTCTACACCTTTTTGCTGTAGTTAGCAAAACAAAACACAAGAAAAGTATTTGGGATCGTGAGCCCACGAGCCGAGCTCGGCCTTTGTTTCCTGGCCTTGGGAAATTTCTCGAAAGCGAGACCCCAGAAAATTTCAACTCTTCCCCAAAACTCGAAATTACCCCGTACGCTTTTCGTGTTGGAAGAGAAATTCGAACAGACGCTGTATGGCAGACATACTCCTTTCACAGCCAACCGCGATACTACTGGCACACACCCGCCGTTGCTCTTCTCCAAAGGACTGTGGCGGCAACGCAGCAGCTAGCTTTTCTCGCCAAGACGACCACTACAACGGGTGAGCGTTTGTTTGGATTGATTGACCCTGCGACAAGTCGAAAATACGCCGTCCATGAGAGAAGAAGCACGCATCATGCTGTAACGCGGTCGCCCTTTGCACGAGCCTCGCCGCAAACCGCCCCAAGCTCGTCAAAGTCACAGCCAATGGTGATACCGCTGACATTCATCTCGTCTGTCTTGCAAAGGCGACCATAACGGGTGGGAGGTGTTTACAGTACAGGGGTATCAAGTTGCCCGGCAGACTTCTGATGACTACATTGTAGAGGTCCGTTGATTTTGCTCCCACTTGCGGGTGCTGTTGTATTGTTCGTGCCTGTGTACCGTTGGTGATGGGCCAACCAGACGGGGCTGCTTGCCAGCGGAGTGTACCTCCAGTGTTTATCCCAGAGGAGGTGGACTGTTGCCATTGCCGTCTACCAGGTATGCAAACTGGTGGCGCATGTGTCATTTTGTGAGAGGACACCCGCCACTTGTTTTTCCATTGTTGTACAAGTGCATATGCAGAATCCAGAAAGGAAGGGTGTGCGAGAACAGAACCGAAAGGCGTCCCAACAAAAAAACAGGAGACTCCATGAGGCAGTAAACTGAACACGTTGCTGTGAGCTACGTACATCATCTGCTGTAGTCAGGTTCAGGGTTCACCTGTTGTATAAAGGCCCGTGTAGGAACGAACTGTTCTCAGTTCTCAGTCCTCCTCGCAAGCGGTGGAGACCGGAAAACCCTTCAGGCCCAGGGTGGATGGAAATGAAACTCCGCTTGTTCCGGCCCCCCCCAACGCACCTTGCGTCTATCTATGCAGACGTATATGCGTATGCCTCGTTTCAATTTGGCACCCCTCCAAAGATGGCATGTGTTTTGCTCCCTCTCCAGTTTTGCTTTGTGGTGGCTCAGACTATCAGCATGTATGTATGTCCGGTTTGATTTTTCCGAGACTATCCCGCTTGACGCTCACGGCTCAGATCTCAGATCCATCCCCAGCAAAACGTGTATTTCCCACAATATATAATATAGAGCAGACTGCACGAAAATGTGGCATCTCAGCAATCTCAGCATGGTACAGACTCTTTCGCGCTCGAGAGGGCACTCGAGACAGGGCAACTATACACAGCAGTGGTGGTCCCAATACACCGCGGTGTGCATATGTACACAGTGGTGACAGGTAGTGATACGGCGGTGTACACGGTAGTGCCAGGTAGTGACAGGCTATTTAACAATCTGGTGACAGGTACTGCTGCACAGTAGTTGTAGTGAAAGGCAATAATCACCGCGTTGGGACCCGCACTAGAGGGGGAAGGTCCCTGAGCAGACTTTGGTGGTGGGCTACAATTGTATTATACGTAAAAATTGTTGTGCCAATATTTTTTTACCGCGGTACATGTCGGGACATGGCGACCACCGCGGTACATATCCGCACTCTGCAACTAATGGTAGCTGTTCTGTTTTAATTTGCTGTGTCATGGTCAAAATCCCACCTGAGGAACCGAGACTGGGATACGAGGCAAGACTAAACCGCCAAAGTAAGCTTGCTTGTTGCTGACAATGGACAGGAACTAGCTCTGGTCATCCGAGCTATCGGGGCTGTGGCCCATTGTTCGCCGTGTGTTGATGTCTCCTGGCGCCACAGCTGTTGCAGTTTGGAATTCTGCTTAAAAAAGCGCCAGGTGGAGGGGGGGGGGGGGGGGGGTGTACTCATAGTCGTGCATGCCGTAGTCGTTTGACCATTTACCTCGCATCCCTACAAAGCCGGGACGGAGCACGTCGGGTTCTCACCGGACCAGGCTCTCACATCACCAAGTGCGAAGCACCGTGAGGTATTCGGCGAGTTCGCATGAAGGGTGAGCTGCATCCTGCTATGGGTGTTAGGCATCTTGTGCTTACTTCCTTGCGTACGGATGACAGCTGCGTATGACTTTAGTTTATTTTCTGGTGCTTTCACTTCCTGACCATTTTAACACAACGTGGTGCGATCATCCCCCCTGCGCCGAGCGAGGGTTCTCCACCCCGCACAACATGATCTACTCGACCACCATTATGGTTACCGCCAAAAAAAAACAGAGGAAAAAAAAAAAAAAAACGGGAACCTGGTTGCCGAGTTCACGAAGTGAATTGGCTTGTTTCACAACCTTGTTGCCAAGCGACGAAAACCCAATCCCGATGGCAAACACCGAGTGGGGGGCTTGTTTTACAACGTCGTTGCCATGCGACGAAAACCCAACCCCGATGGCAAACACCGGGAGGGGGGGGGGGGGGGGGGGGGTTGGAAACCCCCCCCCCACCCTTTTTCCCCCCGGGCCAAAAAAAAATGAAAGGCCCCCAAAAAAACCCCCCCCGGGGTTTTAAAAACCCCCCGAGGGAACTAAATTTTTTCCCCCGGGAAACCCCGGGAAATCTTCCCCTTGCAAAAAAAACCCCAAAATCTTTTGGGCCCCTTGGGGAAAACTTTTCTTCCCCAAAAAAAAAAAAAATGTCCCCTTTTTTTTTTTGAAAAAAAAAAAACCAAACGCCCCCCGAAAAAAAAATTTTTTCCTCCAACCCCCCGAGGGCATTTTTCCCCCCCCAATCCAACCAAAAACCCCAAACGCCCCTTCAAACTTTTTTCTGCCCTTTCAAAAAGGGGACCAAACCTCTTGGAAAAAAATCCAAAAAAAAAACAAAACGTGCCCCCAAGCCCCCAAAGGGGGCCCCCAAGCGAAAAACGGGAAAAAAAATTTACCCCCCTTTTGG